TCACCCTGAGCTTCAGAGCTCACTTGACACTAACCTTTTCACTGTAGCCTATCTCCATCGTGTCAAGTAACCTCTGACGAAAATAGTTTGACCTAGTTTATATAAGCCAATCGAATCCAAGTTTCAAAATTTTTCACCAAAGTTTGGTGAAAACGCTGATTGGTTGACCAGCAATCGGCAATCCTCGGCTGATTCCGCAAGCTCCATACTAACAACAAAGTTATTGTCGAGTGCGGAGACATCCGAGTAGTTCCGAGTGTATTACCGTACACAAAGAAAGCAAGGCGAGTGACTACGAAAAAGAATGTGTTAAGTTATCTCTTTATTCTTTGCAAAATATGAGTAAATCGGAATTGAAACCATAGGGTCTAGCAGTTTGAGGCCATGCATCATTATCTACTGAGAGACGATGTTATTTGCGTGCTGCCCACAGGTTACGGCAAGTCCCTGATATTCAGCCTTATCTTTGATTGGTCCGGATTTGAACAAAGCGCGCTTTGACTCGTTCACGTTCATTGGCTAGATCGTTCAATGAGTCATTGAGTGCGGGCTTTTAAATTTGATTGGCGGGTGGCGGAGGCAATCGAATCTGATCAGAGGTTACTTGACACGATGGAGATAGGCTACAGTGAAAAGGTTAGTGTCAAGTGAGCTCTGAAGCTCAGGGTGCAGACGTGATGAAATTGTCAACATGTAATAGCCAAGTTCATAACAATCAGTTGAATTTACTTTGACATCAGGTATGACTGAATTTTTGCAAGAAACCACTGGGTCAAGTCTCCTGAAGACCATTGGTTCAGACAACCAGTGCTATGTGGAGCTAGAAGTCAAGGCCACACAGAGACCGGACTCTGCTGTTTCGGAGCCAACAAGAATAAAGAAAAAGCCTCAGCCTCCTCAGGCGAAGCCAAGGCAGAAGGCAACTGGACAGCAAAAGGACATAATGAGGTGTGGAATGTCTTTTAGCTCCTTAGAAGAGTATATGAGAGAGAGAGAGAGAGAGAGAGAGATTCTCTTAAAAATGTATTTGCATATTAACCTACATTTACATGTCATATTTTCTTGTTATCTACATAAACATTATTTGGTCATGTTTTCTTGCTTGATTTTATATTTATCTAATATGACAAAATTTTGTTGCTCTAAATATATCTATCATTTTAGTATTTCGGCGAAATTTCTACGCGCACTTTTACATCAAAGAAGAGTTGAAGTGCCAGCTGAAGCTGAAGCAGAGAAAGATGAGGTCCCAGAGACAAAACAAGTGAAAACACCACAAGTTAAAAAAGCACCTCTTCACTTGATGGAAGGTGGCATAAAGATTACCCTTGTTCAAGCAGATATTACCAAGGACAGATGGGTAGGATTTACTGATTTATTTGTTTTATTTTAATCAATTAATTGATTCATTTTGACATGATGAAAAACCAATTGTTAATGAAACAAATGAAAGTACATGTAGCCACAATCGTTTCCTTTTCATGAAGTTACATCTTGAATTAGCAAAATATTATTTTCAGAATTTGTGTAAAGAAGAATTAATGTATGAAAATGTTGCTAAATAGCAGTAATTTTCATATGTATATATGCATTTTTATAGCCGTATGTACACATAGTTTTTCAGTTTGATTTCAATTTACATGAGATTTAGTAATCTATTTTTCAAATAGTACTAGTAGGTTCCCTTTCCAGGTCTGCATTCATTATAGTCATTTTTTGTTTGTAGCCAAATGCTATATATATATATATATATATATATATATATATATATATATATATATATATATAAGTTATTGTTTTCAGTCTTCGGTACTGGTCAATGTTGTCACAGAGAAGTTAACTTTACAGTACGGCCTGGCCAAGATATTTCTGAATGCTGCTGGGGAAGAGTTAGAAAAGGTAAGACCTCCCTGTTGTGGTTTTAACTGTGGAATGCCCATGCCCACAAATTATGACATAGGATCATGGTGCTGTTGATAGAGGGGCAACTACTCTGTGTTTTTTTTTTATAAAGGTGTGTGTGTATGCATGCGTATGTGTATGCGTGCACGCATGTGTGTGTGTGTGTGTAGAGGTGAGGGGAAGGTGAAATAAATCATTCTTGATATCCTGAATCTTACAGAAAATTAAGTCAATAAAAAAGTAAATGGCTTTTTACAATTTTCTTATCATTTCAAAATTGATGACGTATTTTTTTAATGTTCCCAAGTTATCTGAATATTTTGGATACTTGATGTTAGTTCTATATATGCACAGTTTGTTGCTACATTAGATTGAAAACACAATTCCAGATGCAATTTTGTTTTACCTGTACTGATCAGATGCCATCAACCAACAAAACTTGTTTCCATACCTTTAGGCTTTGAGTTCCCAGGCCCCTGGGAATTTTGGTGAAGTGAAAGTGACTGCAAGGTCTGGCAAGTTACCTGAAAGCTGCAAAGAAGTTTACCACATGGTTTGCCAGCAGTACAAGCCAGGACATGAGAAGGTATGCCATTGGGTTTGGTGATTCTCAATAAGACAGAACTGTTCTAGATGTGACTAAACATTGTGTTCTGGTGTTCCTCCCCAAATGCCACCAAAAAACTACCCTCCACCAGGGTGGCAGATGATATAGGGAAAACGGAAAAATCCACACACAGCCAAATGACTGTCTATTTATCTAGAGACATATCTGTGAAAATCTGTGAAAAAATCAATCTGTCACCCTGGTAGAGGGTACCAAAAACGGTGCTGTTCATGATCTGAGGAGGTGCTGTACAGATTGTGATTGCTGAGTCTCAACTACTGCAATGAACTGGCAAAGCATGCCATAACCTGAGACTGGCTTTTATTGCCTACTGAGTGCAAACCTGAACAAGCACAGTTTGGATTTTCATTTTTTTCGTTTGTTATACTTGTTAATGTATTTTATGTAAATTGGCAAGGTACATTTTTTTTTCTAATTGGGAAGTCTTTTTTTCTGTGTGTGAGCTGGAAGGGGGAAGGCAACCAATTTTTTTTTTCATTTATAAATCATCTGTCTCCTTATGTTTATGTCATGTTACTAGATCCTTGGCAGAGAAGGATCTAAAGTATACAAACTTCTCAAATTATTTCCAAATGTACAACACACTATTCCTATTTTGTAGACTCTCCGTGCCATGGTGGAAGAATGCCTCAAGATGGCTGCCAAGTCAAAGCATCCATCCATCAGTTTCCCATCTGTAGGATGTGGTGGCTTGCACTTCCCACCTCCACTTGTCGCCAAAACCATGTTTGACGTTATCATGAAGTTTGCTGGTGGAGAAGGGGCAAAGTCAAGTGTCAAGGTGAGTATGAAGTTTTTTTTTTAATATACTGTAATCTATTACTGGACTTAAAGGGATAACAACTGTTCGTATGATATCCATGTTTCACAATAAATACATTGTAAACTACTCACTGAAATATAATAAATTCTATTTTACCACCAAAATGCCAGTTAACTTAATTATTTTGGAATTTGCGCTTGTCGTCACATCATGTGACCTCCATAGATAGCTACACTGTAATAATCTCCTAAGAGCATAATACAAAAACCAAACTTTTAAGAAAAAAAGCCAAAAAAAAAAAAAGCAATTTTTTGGCTAAAATAAACAGTTGTTATCCTTTTAAATTTAGATCAGTTGATAACTATGCATCCTCCTTGTGGAGACTCAGCTGGTTAACACAGTATTATCAAAGTAAGCTTTCATGGTTGATGGTATTACTGACCACCTGTTTTAGAGGGCATCTGAAATGTACAATGATTCTATATCATTTTATAGTGTTAACATATATATCCATAATTTCTAATCAGTTTTTATCAGAATAATTGTATTTGTCATTTTGGGTTGCAATTTTATATGGCCAAAAAGTCTGAAAAACTTGTGATAAAAAATGAATGAAAATAAACAATGGAAAATAAAGTTCATTTGTAATATCTGGTGGTATAACTTGCTGAAAGTTAAAAACATATCCAGTAGAAATATATGTTTAAGACCAATCTATTCAGGTAGTTTCATGAATAAGATTTGTATTGGAAATAAGGAATGAAGTTAAGAGGGCAATGCAGGTAAATTTTACAGTTTGTTTATTTGTTTTAGTATATTAATCTCATTGTATGGGAGCCAAGAACTTATGGGGCGTTCCTGGAAGAGTTAAAGTCAAGACAAGGAGGGGCTGCTGCTTCTAAGGTTGAGGATGATGATGATGATGAAGGAGAGATGGAAAGTGAAAGTGGTAAGTGTTGTAACAGTTGTGTGCTATCTTGGGTTGCAAGTGGCATAGTTGTGTAACAGATGAAGAAGAAAAGTCAGAAAGTAAAAGGGGTCACTGGTGAATCAGTTGAAGAAGTGGAGCTGGAATTTGTAAGTGGTTTGTATGACAGTGAATTATAGTCAATGAAAAAGAGTTCTAATGAGAAGGGCTTCTACTGGGAGTATCACAGTGTTACAGATGAGAAAGAATATTTTTAAGTGAAAAAGATGTATATCAGAGTGATTCAGTTAAATGTAGAAGCATCTTAATGAGGAAGCTTAGGACAGTTGTAAAGTAAAAATGGGCCGTATACAGTGTGCATCAGATGAGAAAGAATGGTTGTAAAGTGAAAGGTGGTGGAGTTGAAGATTTAAAGTTGTTTGTACATGTAGATCGTAGTTTATCAGTTAATGAAGTGAAGTTTGAAGGTGAAAATGGTGCATCACAATTTTTGAAGGGGTGGGCAGATGCAAAAGTTGTCTGATAAAGAAAATGCCTTGATTTGTGTGTGCAAGATATATGTACATTTACAGTAAAGACTTGAAATTTTCATCACTTAAAAAGTCATCAATATTTGAAAATGCCTGAATCTGACATGGCCATATTAGGTGAAGAACTTTTCAAAATTATCCAGAGGGCCATTTTCAAGTTTGACAAAATTTTTGTAAGTATAAAAATTTGTGTCAGCATAGAATCGCCTCTGACAAATTTTTCAAAACTGACTAAATTTTTATGTTTTTAATGTAATGCATTTAATGTTCTTTTATCATAGATTCTGGTAGTGATGATGCTGGCCCCCCACCTCAAGCCACTGCTTTGGCTGCATCCTCAGGGACCCGTGCTTCACCAGTCACGAGCACCATCTTTATATATGGTACCAAGAAGGGTGTTGCTATTGTCACCCGCAGAATTCAAGACCTATTGAAAAAACACTACAAAGAGGAGCAGATTACAGAAGATGTGATAAGAAGTTTGACAAAGAAAGACCTAGCACCACTGCAAGACAAGGCTAAGGCACTGGGTGTAGGAATAAGTATAGGTCTGTTCTGGGTGGCAGATTCCTCTGTTAATTAGTCGTAGTGAAATTATCTTTTGATAATTATCATCTTTTTTGTCATGTGACCTATCACATCACTTTTTTGTCATGTGACCTATCATTGATAGAATGAATACATACAGCTATTGTCCATATGAACCTGACCAGGACCACATGAGATTAGAAAGCCCTTTTAAGCTGTTAAGGGTACTGTAAGTGTTTATTATCAACCAGATACCGAAAGACCCCATTTCCAGAGATTAGATCGATCTACTTTAGATCGACCTAACTCCCTGGGGGTTCACGCTGAATAGCTGTCAGCCTGGCGGACGCGAAAGTTAATTACCCCCTTACAGCTTGTAGTAGGCGGGATGGACATTTAAGCCGGATTATCTGACAGTAATCTAGTGAGACTCCCCGCGGGGATAGATCAATCTAAAAGCTCTGGGAACACAGCCAAAGTGAAGCTTTTCCTTATTCTTCCTTACTTTATAATGCATCTATATTTGTGCTAATTTAAAACAATAAAAATACCCTTGAAAATATAAAGTATTGGCATCCATATTTCTGGTTGCTGTTATTTGCATAGGCAAATCAAAGCTTTAATTGTCAATTTAACATCTTTCTTTTTTGAGGTGTGAAAGCAGTCAGTATGGGGTGTAAATTCATCCCTGAACAAGATTTTATCACAAAAATTGGCATAGTCGACCACAAGTGTGTGGGCTACAAACCCTCACAGTCATTTTGGTTCATATGTTTTTGCTATGGAGTTTTAAGCCCCTTATTAGATTTTAATTACAAAAAGGCATTATTTTGCTTCTTCAATGATAAGATCTGAACTTAGGCCTTTATGAAAAATCCCTGGCAGGGTTTTAAAGCACTAAATGGCATTAAATTGTGTCCATGGGTGCCTAGGTAAAGGAAAAATTTGAGAAACCAATTTTTCCATTTTTACCTCAAAATCACAATTATGACATCACCCATAAGAGAAGTGTGTGTAAATATTCAGTCCTTGAACACTGAAGATTTATCTCTTAGCCAAAAAAAATTCAGTGTATCAAGATCAATTTCCTCTATTTCAGACCAGAAAACCACAGTTGTCCTTATCAAGGGTGAGGCATCAAAAGTTCACAGCTTCAGGGCAGATGCCATGAGCTTCTTTTCCAGTAAAATAAAAGAATGCAGTTCTGGGTCCTGGAAACTACAACAAGCCCTACAACATGGCAGCCGGGCTGATCATATTGCCGCATTGGCAGAAAGTACCATAATATGTGCACCACAATATTGGTCCAAGAAATACAAGGGAAGTGGCAGTGTCATCAGTCCAAAAAAAGGTCCAGAAAATTACCAACTACTCCCAGTGGATGACAAAATGCGTCAGGCGATTACTGAGATGCTTCAAAAGACATGGCAGGCACATTTAGTTGGGCATGGACGAGACGCCAAGGGACTGGCAGGCTATCAAAACATCAAAGTTACTAAAGTTGAAAGAGTGGAGAATCCACAACAATATTTAAAGTATGGTTTCATTAAAAAGGAGCATTGTCAGAAGTACCAGGATGGGACTTTAAGACCATTCTACACTGTTGATTCTAACCTTGCAAAGGTATGTATATGGTTTGAAGATGATTGTGCATGTATATTTATATAAAAAAACATTTTGCAAGCATAAGATGTTAATTTTAAAAAACAAGGCTAACCTGTCATCTTTTCATATCCCACTGAAAAATCAGCAGCATATGTTGCTTAATTTTTGTCTGTTTGTCATTCTTTACGTAAGTATTTAAAATTTAAGTTGAATAGGTTAATTCCTGGTGTATGAGAGTAAAGGTGTAGCAATTTAATTGATGAATAGCAAGCATACACATGTTTGTATGTATGTATGTATGATGTATGTATATGTAAGTTTACATGACAGATGTAACAATCGCAGACCTGTAGCCAGAAGGGGGAACAGCTAACAAGCTGCCCCTTTTGCCAGTAAAAGGTCAACTCTGAGTAAAATTTGGTCTACTAGTAGGTTCATGGAGATTTCATGGTTTTCAGAAAAATGACTCCCCTTTAAAAAAAAATTTGGCTATGGGCCTGAATCTGCTGGGTGCAATTAAGGAACATAAATTTATTTTTCATTTTTTTTTTTTGCTGCTCTTCATTATACAGGTATTGACCAGCACACTGGGCATTGGTCATCTTGACCGGCACCGCTTGGAGGAGATCAATGAGTACTATCTCTTTCATGGTACCAAAAAGGAGAACATCAGAAGCATTTGCAGCACAGGTGTTGACTTCAGAATTGCCAATGAGGGTGGGATGTTTGGACAGGGGATTTATACTGCTGAGAGCTCATCAAAAGCTGACCAGTATGCAGGTAAGAGGATTAATGCATATAACAAAAGATATAGTGAGCATGCATGTCTGTGGTGCATGTACTAGTATAACACTGAATTGTAGGAGAGAATTAAGCACTGTTAAAAAGGATGATTATTGTACCATCAGCGTTGGCGCTGGCGGTACACATAGTTTCAAAAAAATGAATTTTTTTTACGAAAAAAAATTATTTGCGCTAATATTCAGAAACTACTCAGACCTAACCCATAATATTATTGGCAGGTGTTACCATTCAGGTCATCTTTCATCGCCGTGAGTTAGGGGTCAATTGGTGCATTTTCATGGGAGTAGCGGCCATAAGTGACCGAAACTGAAAACTGTCTCTAATTCGGGAAATGTTGGTGCTAGAGACCTGTTCTTTTTTTGATTTTGTAGAGCATGGCAAGCCCAACACTGGAGGTGGTCTCCATTTTTTTGATTTCCATACAGTTTACGAGTTACATGTATGTTGTATCAAAAAGTACATTGTGGTGGTGAAAGCAAAATGTGAAATATGGTAATGTGTAATAAATTTTGAACCTCTGGAAGATAAAACATAAGGGTTGGCGAGGCAGACAACTTCTGGTCAAAAATGACATTATTTTCATGAAATTTGAACATCTGGAACTTCTGAGCACCTCCCATTTCAAGAATTTCAACCAAAATGACCTTTTCTTTATTTCAATTAATTTCGTTTGTAGGAAATTGATGGCACATTATTGTAACTCTGAAATTGTCTGTACCATTTTGTCCCTTATATCTCCAAAACTGGCAGAGATAGGTCCATAGTTACTATTGAAGTTGAATGGAAGTCATATACTGGTAATCTTACTGTGTCCTTGAAATTGACCTTTGACCTTTTTTCATGATAAACTGCACTTTGCAAATTTTCTGATCTTTATATCTCAAAAACTGCCAAAGATACGCCCATAGTTAGTATTGAACATGAATAGGAAGTCATAAACTGGCAATTTAACTGTGACCCTGAAATTGACCTTTGACCTAATTTTCAGCATGAACTGATCTTTGCAAATTTTCCTTCCCTTATATCTCAAAAACCAGTAGAGATACACCCAAAGTTGCTGTTTAACTTGAATAGGAAGTCATACACTGGCAATCTAACTCTGACCTTGAAATTGCCCTTTGACCTACTTTTTATGATGAACTGCTTTTTGCATGTTTTCTGGTCTTTATATCTCCAAAACTGGAAAAGAAATGCCCATGGTTACTATTGAACTTGAATAGAAATTATTCATATACTGTGATATTGAAATTGACCTTTGCCCTTATTTTTTCACCATGAACTGAGCTTTGCATATTTTCTTGTCCCTCATATCTTCAAAACTAGCAGATATGTGCTCTTTTGTCAGCATATATGCAACACTGACAACACATTTCAAGGAAAACCAATAGGCCTATTGTCTAGAGAATCACAGGAGTGATCAATGTTAGGAAAATGCAGGTTAATTAGAAAATCAGCTTGATTGTACCATTTTTAGTTACATTTTTTTGCATATTTTGAGAACTTGTTGATTGCATTTTATAGAGCTTGTCAAGCACAAGACTGGTGGTGGTGTCCCTTTTTTTGGGGGGGTTCCATACGAATGCGCTTACTCCAGCTGGTGGTACAATACCCGGAGGCGATATCGCCTCTCTGATCCTCTAGTTTTGTTTTGTTTTGTTTTTTTAATTATTCATTTACTTATGTTTTATTTAATATTTATTTATTTATTTATTTGTTTATTTATTTTTGTAGATGCAACAGGTGATAGACAAACCACTGGTCTGAAGATGTTTGTTTGCCGTGTCCTATTGGGGGATGTGTTTTACTGCAGAGAAACCAAGAAATTCCCACGACCACCCTGCACAGGAGCTGGCTGCAATGACCCCAAGTGCAGGACACACGAAAATTTCCACGACTCCGTAATTGGGGATGCTCAGAAACTTTTTCGTGAATTTGTGGTCTATGACAGGGGCCAGTGCTACCCAGAATTCCTTGTCACTTATGACAGAGTGTAGGGGATCATTACAGCAGTACCATGTATTTTGTGACTTTTGTAAATTGTCTACATGATGATTGTGATAATGATCTGTGTACCAGTTACTAAGATATTAATTAAAATTGTGAACTGCCAGATCCAGGACGTTGTAAGCACAAAGATGAAAAGTATTGAAGTATAAAACAGCAGGCGAGAGCAATTTCACCATTATACATAAAACAAAAGAGGAGAAAAAATTGCTTGGATATCACTTGTTTTGGTTGCTATACTGTTTTTAAAGAAGAACGAAGGGGGAAGGTTTGGGGGGGGGAACTTTCCTGCTGTACTTTCCCTTAATCATACAATCATTCCCTTGATAAGATGATATGTATACAATTCTGAAGACTACTGGATGAACTCGGGAACCTCTCTTTAATGAATTTTCAGGTGTTTAGATTAGTAAGTCATTAATTAAAGGCAGGGCACCCACTGATTCCTTGATTGTTCCAAGCCTAGATTATAAACATTGAAATAAGAAATGTTTGGTGATCCAACTAGATTTACATATATAGATTTATATTTAAAGAAAAATATTCATACCACATTAAATGTCATATTATGAGGACCAGGTTTTAATATTATAAAGATATTCCTGAAAACCTAAGTTGTTAGCAGCAGCAATGCTATGTTGTATTTACATTCTTACAAATGTAATCTTCCTGAAATTTTAATTTTGATTGCATAAGACTGATGATGTGTTCAACAATTTCCAACGGCAAAACATGCTACAATTTTGGTGGAAGTAGATTGATAAAGTGCTATTACTTGTATACAAATATATTTGGAAGTACAGAGAAAAAAATTCTTAAAAGATAAGAATTTTTTCTGGTTTAAACATTATGAAATGATTGGTGCATGCAATTTTAAAAAAGATAAGGTTGTAGTTTCATTTGAACAGTTAAGTACAGGGGACAACTCCCTGGTTAAATTTTTTTGCATAAATACATTTTGCTCTTGTTTTCAGTAATTTATCTTTGATGTTAGATAAATAATGAACAATAAGATAAATTAAAAATTCAGCTATATAAAACAGTCTCATCCAGATATGTTTTCCATGTTGATTTTCACCTTTACTAACCATTAGTAGCCCTTTTCCAGAATCGTGAATAATATGCCTTTTTAGGTTCTACTTGTACTAATGATGAAGTTTTTATTGAATCAGATGATTTAAAAAGATATAAATTTTAATTAAAAGATGTGTAGCAATCAAGAACAAAATATGCTTTATTTTGATTTAAAAATCTGTGCCTACGAAAAGAACCTATTTTACATGAAGTAATATATTTCTTTATGTTCACTGCATTAGTATTAGCTTAACAGGCATAAATACTATGGACTTCAGGATGTTGTAAATACATTGATTGTGAGTGTAAAATAACTGGTGAAAAAGGCGAATGGTATCTGCTGGTGTGTAATTTGTTGGGGAGACTGGGGCACCTTTAACCCTAGGGCACCTTCGGCCACCAAAAATATTTCCACACTTTCATTCCATCAACAATGCGACCCCTTTACACAGCCAAATGTTTCATAACCCAATCACTATGAAATTGTGGTAACTGATTTGTGCTCCGTTTGCAAGATATGATAGAAAAAAATTTTGCCTCTGCTGAATAAAATTTTAGGTTCCGAATATGGGTTTATTTTAGTGACGAAAAGGTTGATAACCTATCAGCATATATCAAATGCATCAAATCATAAGATCAGATACATGTAGTAAAGCTCGATCAGTGAAGTAAGTCACTTCACAATTTTTATTATGTTGCTATGGTAACATTATGTTTCTATGGTTTTGCCAGGGACCAAACGTGACCCGTATTTCAGATTAAACATCGGATTATTAGTTATGAGATTTAAACTAGAATAAAACAATTACAAATAAACGTGTCCTTACAAATGTGCGTGATGAAAATTATGATTGTCATATGTGGAAAATATATTTATATATATCAATCACATGTATTTGTCTTTGAAAAAGTGCTGACATGTTAAATTTTCGACAGTAATTCCTTTGAATTCACTGAACGAATTGAGTCGATCACTGACTTTTGAATTAGTGCATTTTTAAGAATATAATGAGGTACGTATAGCCGTAAGAAAAGTTAAAACTTTCCCCGCGCCGGACACGTTCTGCCATGCACTCAAAAATGCCCAAAAATGCATGTAAATTTTGTTTTAAAACGTCTCTCTTTTAAGCACTAAAAGACACGATTCAGCGGTCCATCCACTCATTACAATTTTATGTAGTTAGTTGAGGTCTCATAAAAGAAAATTGCCGTTTGTGATCTCGAGCCTCAGATTAGTGAGCAGGAACATCCAAATTATCGTCTGCTACGATCTGGCCAATTTGAACGCAAGTGACGTTGGTGAAGAGTCCCTTTAGGTGCGACATTCTAAACATGGCGATATACACTTTTACAAACAACATCTGACTACATGTTTTTCTAAGCATCTAATTTTCCAATCAAACATGAACAGTTTTTAATATTCGCCCTTTAAACTTGAGCGAAGACAGTCGCGCCCTACTGCTCAAAAAGTGAAACAAGATAACTGTGGTTAATTATTCTGTTTATACCCAATTTCAATGAACAAAATCACGAAAAAATTCGCTGGTAATTTTTCTACTCACACAGCATATATATTACTGGAGAATTTATTATAACCGCGCCTTGAGTTCATATGGATCAGTGAGCGACGCCTCATAACACAAATACATGCTTTAGTAGACTTTAAATCTGTGAATGTGCCGCATATAAAAAAATGTTTTTCGTTTTGATGAAAAGCAAATCCTAGGGTAAATACTTGTTTTGGCACCTAAATGGTTAAGAAATCTCCCCCTCCCCACCCCACCTCACTCCCCATATTATCTCTAGAAAAGGGATGTTACGTATGCTATTACTACGTAGTCTGTATCTTGCTACTTTTACAATTAAATAACACAACAACTGTACGAATGCTCTTTGCTGTAATGTACGTCTCTTAGATGCAAACCCCATACCTTGTTTAAAGTTTGTCAACACTATGTATATATTCTGAGCATTTTACCGCGATTTCTACATAGGCTCAGTTCAATACAGTGTATTAAAGCTATTCGATGTATTAAAAAACGCTTTCTAATGTTCGCCCATTAAATTTGTTACAAAGGCGATCAGTGATAATAAAAAAAGAAGTATATAATAAGGCGCGTTTTAACGTTTCCTATCTTTTTGCGCCCCCTTACCTTGTGAAATATCAAATCCCAATAAGTCTGTGAACAATGCAGTTAAGATATTGTGAACAACTTGTGTACATATTAACTCAAGCTTACTGACATAAAAAACTCGATATAAAAAGTGTACTCGTCAGGATCTGATATGTGCATTTTCAGAGCTACAGTGTAAGATGTTGGCAACATAACAGTTAGTAAGGTAAGTCTATTGTAGAAGATAAAAGTCTTCTGGAAATGTATGTCGCAAAAATCTGGGAAATCCTCCACAGATTCACACAGTCATTGCTAGGGATTTTCTTTAATACTTGCGTTAGATTCTTGGTCCTTGCAAATTTAATACGTGAATTTAAAGAATAGGCCTGTGCCAAATTGGAATTAACTGAACGGTCCATAAAACATATACCTATACAGGTTTAGGGGACTAAAAGCTCCATGGAGTGATGATCTTTTTGTTCTAAAATATTTGTGTATTTTGTGTGTTTCGGTTCTTAGTAGTACTGTATCTTTAGTCAGCTGCGAGTTTAACGCCTACTACATGTACAGCGGCACTCTATACTAGAGGCCAAGTGGGTGTGATGAAATAAATCCCATGCCAAAATTCTCGTTTGATAGCAGACAAACTGTCATAAATAAGCCAAAGACATAACTGTGGATATCTACTGAAAAATTAATTCAACGAACGTCAGCTTAGCATTCCCCTACCTCTACGTCTTGCCTGTATAGAAAAACGATTTTCAACTTTGATCGGGGTGACACCGAATTTTTGCCAATGTATGTCATTAAAATCTGTTTTAGGTCGCATTTTAAATTCCTTTTTAATACAAAGTCTTAAATCGTCAAATTCCTAATTTCCAAGGCTATAACACAACGGTGCTTTAACAGTGTGATACACTTCTGATGTTGTGTATTTTATTAACGATCAATTTATTGGCTAAATTAATAATCATTCTCTATCAATAATTCTAGTTTGAATGTCATAAACACCAAATATTTTACGTTTATGCCAGTTTTGGGTAAAAAAAAAAGCCGTACCCCTTATACCCTTTTTTTACAGGGGCGGATCCAGACCGTCTTCCAAAATTTTCTTTTGTTGATCCATCCTCTATTTTTGACCGTCTTCTGCCAGAAAAAATTAGATACCCGTCAATGTAAACTTGAAAATCTGACCGTCTTCCATAAGACGGCCTCAATCCGCCCCTGATTTTAATTATTAGAAAATGGAACATAACACACTGACAGGTATCATATAACACAGGGTTGACATAACACAGGGATAATATAACAAAAGGATCATGTAACAAAGGGATGATATAACACATTGATGGTATAACTCTATGTGGCAAAACAATAGACAAGGGTGACGTGAAAGATATCAGGTAAAAAAGAGCTATATAGTAGTGCCACTAACTGTGCAATTACAGCACAGTCAAACCCGGGAAACACTTTTTTTCAAGACACGTAGGCCTAACTGTTTGTGGTTTACACTTGTTATGACGGCTTGCGTTATCACGATGGTGAGAATTAATTGGATCNATAGGGCCTACATTGATTGTGAGTGTAAAATAACTGGTGAAAAAGGCGAATGGTATCTGCTGGTGTGTAATTTGTTGGGGAGACTGGGGCACCTTTAACCCTAGGGCACCTTCGGCCACCAAAAATATTTCCACACTTTCATTCCATCAACAATGCGACCCCTTTACACAGCCAAATGTTTCATAACCCAATCACTATGAAATTGTGGTAACTGATTTGTGCTCCGTTTGCAAGATATGATAGAAAAAAAATTTTGCCTCTGCTGAATAAAATTTTAGGTTCCGAATATGGGTTTATTTTAGTGACGAAAAGGTTGATAACCTATCAGCATATATCAAATGCATCAAATCATAAGATCAGATACATGTAGTAAAGCTCGATCAGTGAAGTAAGTCACTTCACAATTTTGATTATGTTGCTATGGTAACATTATGTTTCTATGGTTTTGCCAGGGACCAAACGTGACCCGTATTTCAGATTAAACATCGGATTATTACTTATGAGATTTAAACAAGAATAAAACAATTACAAATAAACGTGTCCTTACAAATGTGCGTGATGAAAATTATGATTGTCATATGTGGAAAATATATTTATATATATCAATCACATGTATTTGTCTTTGAAAAAGTGCTGACATGTTAAATTTTCGACAGTAATTCCTTTGAATTCACTGAACGAATTAAGTCGATCACTGACTTTTGAATTAGTGCATTTTTAAGAATATAATGAGGTACGTACTCAGCGTTTTTGCTTATACGTGTAAGGATATAGCTGTAAGAAAAGTTAAAAGTTTCCCCGCGCCGGACGCGTTCTGCCATGCACTCAAAAATGCCCAAAACTGCATGTAAATTTTGTTTTAAAACGTCTCTCTTTTAAGCATTAAAAGACACGATTCAGCGGTCCATCCACTCATTACAATTTTATGTAGTTAGTTCAGGTCTCATAAAAGAAAATTGCCGTTTGTGATCTCGAGCCTCAGATTAGTGAGCAGGAACATCCAAATTATCGTCTGCTACGGTCTGGCCAATTTAAACGCAAGTGACGTCGGTGAAGAGTGTCTTTACAGCAATAGAAGGTGCGACATTCTGAACAAGGCTATAAACACTTTTACAAACAACGTACGACTGTGTTTTTCTAAGTGTCTTATTATATAATTTCCCAAT